TTCGAAGATAAGGTTGGCTTTGTAGTAAATAATTAATTTGATTTTCTTGCTCGGGTCAATTGGGGTACTGTATTTTCTTTATCGTATATCTAAGGGGAGATTCATCTTGTTTGTAGTTGACTCTTTGTTCAGAAAAGAAAACACTTGTTCGATCACACGAATAATGAAATAAAATGCTTAATCGCAGTAACTTGTCTGTCGTCTTTAATGGATATATATATATATATATATATATATATATATATATATATATATATATATATATATATATCCAAGTACAGGATTGATGTATACGGAATAAATTCCAATAACCAAAAAATACTATTCTTAAAAGAGTGCTCAATACAGAATAGAGCAAATATAAACATTTACTCGAAAATTATAACATAAAAATGTCATAAAATCACTACAAAAATAGGCATTTTGTTTAAAAAATTCTGGTGTGTTCTCAAGTGAGTGTGTTAAATGCCATTCAACACCTTCACTTGAGAACACTCCAGAAGTGTTGAAACAAAATGGCTATTTTTTTAGTGATTTTATGACATTTTTATGTTGATGCGGACTATTGTGTTCATTTTGTTTTCATCAACACGATGTTCCGGTCGTTGTTTTCACCGGCCTCTATCACGGGCTTCTCTATTTTCAGAACGCTTTGTTTAATCTAAGGGTACAAATATCTGTTTCTGCTCTTATTTAATTCTGCCAATTATTGTTTGACCCTTTCAAATGAGTCTCAGTCTACACTGCCCGGCAGAAGAGATTGAACTCACAATTATTATGTCGCTGAATGCACGAACCAATGATCTAATCCACTTGATTACTGTCCCGTGAATTTGGGAACATACTAATTACGTGTTCAATCCTTGAGCCGGGCAGTACAGACTTAATGGAAACGAGGCAATCAATAACTAAGAAATACTAAATAATAACTTGACGACATACCTCTAGACATGGATAGCGGAGCGTGAAGAATCAATCCCTGTAGATTGAATAAAGGGTTCTGTTTGAAATTCCCTGACGGTTTCCAGAATCGAAAAGCTGGAGAAAGCATCTGTCGAAACGCTGAGATAATAATAACAAAAGAAAATAATAATCTGCATTCTTATAATGTATAATGATTTGGAAGTTGTGTGATTACAGTGACTTTTCCTACAATCGACATTGTTGCTTCTGCTTCGTCGGAGGTCCTGGTGAGAAAAAAAAACCCTCGCGCGTATTGACAAGAACTGTACAAGATTTCTTGGTCCACAGAATTGTCAAAGACTAAACTAGGCATCGGCAACATTTTCGAACATTGAGTCGCACGAGGGACAGTTCATCTTAAGGTGGGCCGCACTGATAAAACACAAATCATCAAGGTAAGTTTTCATTAAGGATATCGCAGACATTTTCAGAAACAAAGAGCATGCGCATAAGCATCTACCTTAGAAATGGCGGGAAAAGTCGATTGTTTCTTCTTTGGAGAAATGATTCCTTCTATAATTAAGAAAAAACTGAAGTCTTCTTATATCACCACTGATAAAAGAGTGATTAACACACGTTGATGTGTGTGATTTATTTCTAATTTACTCATTTGATGATGCAAGAACATTTTTTAAAATAAATATATTTATTCACTAGGGAAAAATAATTATCATTAACGTGTCCTATTTCTGAAGCAAAAGGTGTTTGCACTTATGATCTTCTTTAGTGAAAATCGTCAATAGTTTAAAATAGTTCCAATTTTACCTTCAACGAAATGTTACAAAAACCCCAATAAACAATGTACTTAATCATCGTTTATGCATGTGTCTATGCATGAGAGAGTGTGTGAGTGAACAAGTGAGAACGAAAGGAACAAACATTTTAATAAACTTTATTTTCCTCATGAAATTAGGCGTGCCATTCAGAATGTCAATAGTGTTGGAATTTTTGGGTACTCTGGTGAACTAGTGAGCCAGCCAAAATGAGCTGACTCATTTTATAGTTAACCAATAGAAGGGTTAACCAATCAGAAGGCTCAAAATATTCAATGCGACGTGTATAAAGGCAGCCATGTTTTTTTCCTGAATACTCACTGCCAGCCTTTGATATCGAAGACTGAAGAATTACGGAACAGCTGCTGGTGGTATTGGCCATAGAGTCAGATTCAGTAAAATGTCTGACTCGTGAGTGTTAATCTTTAACGTTGTTTCATTGAACAGATTACGTACTGCGCTGTATTCTATATTCATAGACTATGGTGAACATGGTCAACAAATCGGTCCACATGTGACCCGCGCCCGCAGTTTTGCTATGACTGGACTAAGCATATACGAAGCTAGGAATAGTGAAGATGCGCTCAGAAAGGAGCCCAGCTTTACGGAGGAGAAACTTTCGTCCGAGGTGAAGATAGTTGCCGGGTACTGATTACTTCAGCAATTTTACGTACACCCTCAGCTGACGAGTAGAATGATGTGTGTCGCCGATTAAACTTTTGAGATTACAAAGATGGACCAAATTGTTTACCAGATTGTAATCG